TTTATTTTGTTAGCTTTTCTTTTTCAAAGTGGTATCTTTTGGAGCGTGTGAATGGCAGCTAAATCTATTTTTTTTTTTAAAAGATTTATTTATTTATTATGTATACAGTGTTCTGTCTGTATGCTTGTTGGCCAGAAGAGGGCAACAGATCTCATTACAGATGGTTGTGAGCCACCATGTGGTTGCTGGGAATTGAACTCAGGACCTCTGGAAGAGCAGTCAGCGCTCTTAACCTCTGAGCCATCTCTCCAGCCCCCAAATCTATTTTTCTTAACTAGGCATGCAAGTCGGAAGGCAATCTGCAAGGCAAGTGTGTTTTGAAGGGAGTTTAGTAGGGAATGAATGGATCCGTGGAACGTTTTCAGTTACAGGAGTCAAAATATTAAATAGCTTATGTTATTCCATCCAACATTTAAAATGATGTTCTCTAAAGCCGTGAGTGAGGACAGGTGTCTTTTCTGAGAAAGGAAAAGGTGTTCACTGTAAGATGATTGCAAATTCCTGGGACGCCTTCAGAGAATGCTTAGGCCCTGGAGACCTGCGATTCAGCTTCTGTGTTAGGATCTATATGATGTTGTCTATCTGATGCCAGTATCACCCGAAGGCTGGTAGAGGACTTTCAAGAATGGAAACTTTTTAACGACTCCCTGTGTACCTGAGCAATTTACCCTGCCCAGAGAGTGATGCTAAGATACGGTGTGGGAAACACAGCTCGGAATCAGGGTGCTTGGGGTTCCTAGATCTGTCTGTTTATCATTCTAATAACACACTGAGATGTAGAGTCTCACTTTTTTTTTTTAATGAGCTTTAGAATAAAACTTAGGTTCAAACACCACTTTTGATTTCTGTTACCTGGAATATGTTAGATTCATCATGTAAATTATTTGAGCCTTAGTTTCTTCATCTATAAATTGCCCCAATATATGGATTTTATTAGGCCTTTATTGTAGGCAGGCATTGACTTATCTTTTTCTTATGTCTGTGTGTTGTGTGTATGTACATGTGTGTGTGGTGCGTTGTATGTGTGCATGTGCATATGTGCTGATATGAGCAGTCTCCCTCAGTCACTCTACCTCATTCATAGTACAGGGTATCTCAGTTGAAGCCAGAGCTAACCAATTTGGCTCGTCTAGCTATCCAGCTGGCTTTCAGGGACCCCCCCACCCCATATTTCTGTCTCTGAGTTCTAGACAGACCTCTACACCGACTGGGCATTGGGTGCTGAGGATCTGAACTCTGCTCCTCACTTTTGTGTGGCAAGAACTTTACTTGTTGAGACAACCCTTGTCCTAATATTTTATACTTTAAGTCTTGACAGTAGTCTTACGTGGAAACTTTGACTATTGCTAACTCCGTTTTTCAGGTCAGGTCACTGCATGGAGAAAACTGATACTCAGAGAGTCTAAGTAACATGTCACCCATGAAATGATATCACCCAGAAAGGGACATATTCTTCAATGGTGGCGGCAGAGGACATTCTTTCTTGTCAGCTCCGTCTCAGCCACGCCTCCTTTTCTTTTAGGATCGTGTTTCAGATTAGTGAAGAGCAGAACCACAGGTTTAAGCAACATGCATCTCAGAAATGAGACAGAGGTTTTGGGCCAGAGGTTGTTAGTGAAAGTGGATTTTTATCTCCTGCAGGAGTGGCAGAGACTCAACTATGATATCTACACGCTGCGACAGATTCGCAGGGAAGTGAGAAACAGATGGAGGCGAATCCTCGAAGACTTGGGTGAGTGTGAAAGGGACTGTGAAATGGTGGAATGACTACTCACGTGGTTGCTTCTCACCGCTTCCACCGTGGCTTCTGTCGGCCAGTGCTATTAATGACTATTAAACTGCCTTCTACTGATTCGTTCTTCAGCTTTGCTTTTATGCTCTCAAGTGTAAGCCTTAATATTTCTGTTCTCCCCAGCTCATGTTACTTGGCCATATGTTCCTTCATCTGTCCCCAAGTCTGAGATAACACAGAGTAGTGAGGTCATGTGGGTGTTACCGTTTACTGCTTTGTCATTATTTATTGGTTGAATTAGCGGGGGTTGACTGAGCAAGTAGTAATAGCTTTCTGGATATGGCAAATTGAAAGAAATAGTGTTTGTAAGAGATAGTTAAACACAGCAGAAAATTCTAAAAGAAGCAAAAGGAAGAAAAGTTACAAGGTTGGGGAAATACACTTGACATTATGGTAGACACTGAATAATGTCAATCTTAATTTTGCTGCGGTTGAATAACTGTATCCCCACATCATATAAGGTTGCTTTAGTGTTCAGAAATGAACAATCACCTTTGAAGTCCTTGGTCATTCTACTTTGAAATAACCTGACCCGTGGCATTAAAGATTTTCAGAGGTGGGATACCAGGTTGCTAGCCCTGGTTGGCTAAGTTGGGGAATAGCGGGGTAAGGTGGGCACTCTGCCCTCTTAACCCATTCAGTATTACTGTGGGTTGGGAGTTTGCAGGGTAAGTCAGCCTGAGCAGGTCTCATCCTTTGATTCTTTTCTATCTTTAGGAAAATAATTTTTACCATGAGGAAGGAGATCAGGGCTTTAAGGTGTAGCAACCTGGAGGTGACGTCACTACAGGCCGGGGAGAGGTGCAGGATTCCAGAACAGTACAGTGGCAGGTTCAGTGAGCAGTCAGGGTCAGGATGAGTTCCCTCCTAGAGGGAGAAGGGAACAAGGAAGAACCAGCAAGGACAAACATGAAAATAGAGGTTTTTCTCTCTTTCTTTTTTTTTTTTTTTCTGAGACAGCCCTAGCTGTCCTGGAACTCACTCTGTTTTCCAGGCTAGCCGTGAACTCAGAGATCTACCTGCCTCTGTCTCCCAAGTGCTGGGACTAAAGGCATGACCACCACCGCCCTGCAAAGATAGTTTTAAGTAAAGAGCCTCCTGCTTACACAGAGCTGGGAAGCAGCATTTTTTTTTTTTAAACTGCTTGCTCTTCTGAGGGCCTGCCATCCAGCTTTCAAATACATACTCAGGAGACTTATTTCTACTTACAAATGCCTGCTTTTAGCTTGGCTTGTTTCTAGCCAGATTTTCTAACTTAAATTATCCAGTTCTCTTTTTTTTTTTTTT